AGCATGGGTTGCGGGGACGCGTGTGGGCACCGCCGCTGGGGCCTTCGGTGGAGCTTCCTATGGGCCGCGAAAAGTGTGAGGGGCATGCTGACATTGTTGTTGTTGGTGATGATGCTGATGAGGGCGATGGTGATGTCGTTGATGAGGATGATGATGATGATGACGACGCTGATGATGATGCTGCTGCTGGTGATGATGATGCCGATAACGATAGTCATGATGATGAGGATAATGCTGAGGATGATAATGGTGATGATGCTGCTGATGATGACGATCATGAGGACGATGATGATGTTGAATATGATTGTGCTGATGCTGGCGATGCTGCTGATGATGATGCTGATGCTGATGATGCTGATGCTGCTGATGATGACGGTGATGATGATGTCGCTGATGATGGTGGTGGTAAGAAGAAGATGATGATGATGATGATGGTGATTATACTGATGATGATGCTGATGATGATGATGACGATGATGATGCTGACGATGATGATGCTTATGATGATCATGATGATCATGATGGTGCTGATGATGATGCTGATGATGATGATGCTGATGATGCTGATGATGATGATGATGATGATGATGATGATGATGATGGTGATGGTGATGGTGACGATGACGATGACAATGGCGACGAAGAGGGCAGAGATAAGGAGGGGGAGGACGGAAGAGGAGGAGGAGGAGGAATGAGAAAAGGAGGGACGCGGGGCGCTGTCTCTTCAAAACGAGGACCAAACACCACAGGACAGACGTTACCTCTTAATTCTTGTGCCCGCTTACAGGGGTCCCCCCCCCTCAACTGGTCTGCACGCTTTGGTTCCGCCCCCCTCCCCCGCCGCCCCCTCAAACTGCGCATCACATGCCACCCTTGCCCAGGATCGCTCGCGTGTGCAGCCGGGAGAGGGAGCAGGACCGACGCGTCGCCAGCTTTGGCGATGCGTCAGTCTCCCTCCCTGATCACGGCGTGCATTTTGGCCTCCGCGGCCTCCGGAAGCAGATCCAGGCAGCCGTTCTTCTCGTTCCCCTGTCACGTGATGAGCCGTTCGCGCTACGTCTGCGCTGGGCGCCTCTACGAGTCGACGGGCACGCAACAAGCAGGGAGGAGGAGGGGGAGGAGGAGGGGGAGGCGGTGGAGGAGGAGGAAGAGGAGGAGGAGGAGGAGGGGGGGGAGGAGGGGGAGGAGGAGCGATTCCATCGATTTCGCATCTCGCACGGTGCGAGGTGCGCGGCTGCGACCCCGCCGCCGCCGCGCGCGCCGCCCTCTCCGCGGCGGCCTGCTTTCCGGAGGTCGCGGCCCTGGGGCCCACTTCCTCTCCACTCGCGTCGTGCGGAGGCGAGTGGAGCAATGCTGGCGAGCGTGTCCTTCGCGGTGCTCTCGATCCGCCCCCGAGATCCTTGACACCCCGCGCGGCGCCCTCGGGGCGCGAGCCCCGAGCACCCCGCGCGGCATGCCTTCCAAGGGTGTCGGCAGTGCCGTAGCCCACGTCCGTGTTCTTGCCCTGCTTTGTGATGTGGTTCTGCTGCTCGTCGTGGTGGTCGCTTTTGTGCTGCTGGCCGACGCGCACATCTGGCCTTCTCCCACGCTGCCGCTGGTTCTCGTGGCTGTGTTGATCTTGTGTTGTCGGCTGCTTTTGGTGGTGGCTGCCGTGGTCTAATTCTTTGCCGCTGGATGCGGCTAGGAGGCGCTGCGTCCAGCGTCTCCGACGGTCTTCTGCATTCTCAGCCATGTTGGTCCTCCGTTGTTCGTTGACTTCGTGCTTTTGTGGATTGCCTGGTCGCTCCTGTCGTCGTTGATCCGTGTGGTTGTCCGTGTCCCGCGTCGGCGGCGTCCCGCTCGTCGGTGCGGCTCCGTGATCGTTGACTACGGCGACTCGCGCACTGGAGGTCGCGGCCCTGAGGCTCCTCTCCAATCGCGTCTTGCGGAGGCGATTTGAGCGAGGGTGACGGGCGTGTCCTTCGCGGTGCTCTCATTCCGCCCCCGAGATCCTTAGCACCCCGTGCGGCTCCCTCAGGGCGTGTGCCCCGAGCAACCCGCGCGACATGCCTTCCAAGGGTGTAGGCAGTAACGTAGCCCAAGTCCGCGTTCTCATCCTGCTTGGTGATGTGGTGCTGCTCCTCGTCGTGCTGGTCAGTTTTGTTCTGCTGGCCGACGCGCACTTCTGGCCTTCTTTCACGCGGCAGCTGGTGCTTGTCGGTTACGTGGTGCTGGTTACGTGCTTGTTTGTGGTGGATGTCGTTGAGTGGCTGTTCTTCTTGCTTGTCTGCTCCGCCGCTGGCGGCGGCGAGGAGGCGCTGCGTCCAGCTTCTTCGTCTTCCTTCTGCGCTCTCTGCCGTCTCGGTCTTCTGGTTGTTGTGGTTGTGTTGCAGGTCGCTGTCGCTTGGTTGCTCGTGGGGTCGGTGACCTATGTATATGCTCGTACCTTGCGTCGGCGGTGCCTCGTTCATTTCTTGGGCTGCATGCTCGGTGCCTTGCACGGGTTGTGATTCGTCTTGCTGTTGGGCCGTGGCGTCGGCGTGTGTCGTCACGTCGTCTCCGTCAGCTTGTGCAATCTCGTTCCACTTCCTCAGTTTGTGATGTAAGCTTCCGTATGTCGGCGTTCTTTTGCATTCCGCTTGCATAGTCTGAGATATGTATTCCGTCGCCGTCGTGCTACATGTCTGGCAGTACCATCTTTTCTCTTTGTTTAGGTACTGTAGTCGGTGCGTCGGGTGTGCTGTGTTGCCTTGTATCTGCAGCTCTGTCCCTTGTCGGGGCGATGGTCCTCCGCATCCCTCCTGGAACCAGGTCGTGATGCTCGTGAGTGCAGTAGTCGTTCCCACGCTTTGTTGGCAGTGACTACACTTCCAGCCCTTCCCGCGTCGTAGGTGTCGTAGTTGGTGTGTCGTGGGCGGTCGGCGTCCGACAGGTGCGGGTGGTCCGTGGGCGAAGTAGTCGGTTTCCTTTATCGATTGGGCTCTTTCTGCGCGCTTCTGTGTTCGTCTTTGTGCTTTGATGTCGCGGTCTTCTGCAGGCCGTCTCTCCAGGAGTAGTTGCGTCGCTGTCGTAATCCGTCTCCTCATTAAGGCAGCCGTCGCATTCATCCAATTGAAGCACTGCATCTTTGTGTCGTCGATGTCGTGCTGCTCCGCTGCTATGTCCATAAACGTGTCTGCTTGTGCAGTCCCATACCATGCGTGTCTCGGGTATCTTTTCGCCCCTGCGTCTTCCCAAATGAGGTGGTTGTTGATGTGGAAGACGTGTATCTCTTCCGCTGGGCCGCGCAGTTGTAGCTCATATTCGATATTCTTCCACAGGTCACTGTTGGTACCAACTTCAACTGGTCGTTCAAATCGTCGTCCTGTCCAGCCTTTGAAGACGATCTCGCTGTCGGTCCAGTAGCGCAGTTGCTCTGTTGTGCTTTGTATTCAGTCTAATAGGGCCCACACCTTAGCTCTGTTGTTGGTTTTGCGTCTACCTGGGAGTGGTCCATACATGCCCGCTGTGATATCCATATCGACTCCACCCAGGCGTATCCAGGCCCAGCCGCAACGTCTGTACCTCCAGTCTGAGCTGTGCTTGCCCCCTGAGCCGTCGCCGTAGGCCACGATCGGGGAGCCGTCGCTGGTTGCGATGCGTCCGTTGTGGATGGTGTCGCCGATGCAGTTGACTTCCTCCTCCGTGTCGCACTCTGGTGGCACCGACCGTGCTCTGGGGGTGATGCCTCGCAGCCAGAACACGGGCGTGTCGGCGTTCCTGTCTCTGCTTGTCTTCGCAATTGGTTAGTCTTATTGAAGGTGTCGTGGTCGTCGCGTGCGTCACAGTGCTTACAGATTCTGTGATAGTCTGTTTCTTCGGCTCCGCATTCGCAGTTGTCGTCGCATTTTCCCCCCGAAGCATGCTCGTTGTCTTGCTCGTGGCCAGGTCCCTGCACATGAAGCCAGTAGCAGCGCACCGTACTCTCTGTACTTTCCGCGTTTCATTAACCACTCCAGGTGTCTCCGTAGGTCTGTGGTATCTGCTCCGCTCTCTTCAAGTCCTTTCCCGTTGTAGTGCTGCGCCGCGGACTTCCAGAGTTGGTAGGCTACATCTGCCATGAGCGCGTCTATGATGTCTGTCGGGTCTCCCTGCTCGTTACCTTCCGGATATTTCCATCTGTTCTTGTGCCTATCGATCCAAGTCTCGGGCCCGCGCGAATCCCATCCGATCTCCCAAAGCGTCAGGATGATGGCGGCCACGGATGTTGTGCTGGTATCTTCAGGAGTCGGAAGTATATGCGGAGCCATGCTCGTCGTACTTGTGCTCGTAGGTCTGGACTGCGCCCCCAGCAGTTGAACCAGTTTGTGACGGGAATCTTCAAGATGGTGTAGGCGGGGTCGGTGCCTTCCACTGCCAAGTGGGTGGTAAGGCAGCGTCCCGGCCAAAGGGTCCGTAGGGCTTGGGCGTACCTCCGTCGTGCTTGAAGTAGAGTATGTGGTGCCATGCTATGGAAAGAGGAGGATGTCCCACCATTTGAAGAAACAGATGGTTCCCCAGGGAGGCCCGCAGCCACAGGTGCGCCCAGTGCCCGCGGGGAGGGGGAGGTGCACGCTGCTCTCGGCGCGAGGCATCCTCGAGGAGCTCGTCTGAGTTTGTGTCAGCTCTTTGCGGGGAGCGGCAAAGACATTCTCTTCACTAGAGTGCAGTTCAGGAGGGGAAAACACACAGACACATGTCATCGCCGATTCGTAGGAGAATGATGGAACATATGGACAAGGGGGGGATATGGAACATATGAACATATAAACGAAAGCCCATATGATATGAAAACATCCGGGGACTCCTAGGATTTGCGTCTATTTCTTGTTGCGTCCCTGGGCCCCTTCAACAGTACAGCACACCACGTGGAGCTCCTCACCCCCTCCTCCTCCTCCTCCTCCTCCTCCGCCTCCGCCTCCGCCTCCTCCTCCTCCTCTGGCCCCCCCCGGGGCCGCCGCCGTGGGGCGGCCTGCGCACCTCCTCTGCCGCCACCCGGCCAGGGCTTCGACCCCGCGGGCGCGAAGAGGCAGGGCGTCGATCCCGGCCATGGCTTCGGCGCCCCCGCGGGGGCCCCGCTGGGCCCGGTGATTCGAGGAACAAATTCTCAAGCAGTGGCGAAGCGTCCTGGCGTGCCTGTAGGCCCACAAAGCAATCTTCTAAGAACCTTTCCTGTGGCTTCTGCGAATTGCTCTTAGAACATTTCTGGCTGGAACTGTCTCTTTCTAGAACATCGGGTCTATGATCTAAGAACATTGTTTTTGTTATCATAACATTTTTGTGATCTAAGAACATATCGTGGTAGGCGCCCCTGCGGGGACCCCGCTGGGCACGGCGACTCGAAAAAGAACAGCAGAAGGCATTTCCCAGACACGACCGCGTTGGTAAAAAAGTCAGGGCGGAAGTTTTTTCTGCACTTTCGACCCCTGGGGGCCCTCGCCGGGCCCCGGGAGCGTGAAAAAATGATTCAGGATGAAAACTGGCCTGGGGAAAGGGTCTGGACTTCCAGGGACGACAAAAGGCATTTGGGAGTTCAGTCAAGGGGGGCACAAACCACCCAGACCCGATAACTGGCGTTTACGAAGCGGCCCTGAGCGTTTACGAAACAGCCCTGCCCTGTTTGATTCCCTCTGTGGGTGCGTTTGCTAAACGGCTTGGCGTGTCGGGGTGATGATTATGGGGGTGGATTTACTGCCCTCTACTCGGGTGGCGACCTGGAATCCTCAAAACGTCACAGCCAGGTTTGGGAACACGGGTCACCGCCGGGTTTTGTGGCTCCTGGGCCCACCATCGTTCGGGACATCTTCGAAAGACCACAGGAGTCTCCAAACCGGGCGGTGACATCAAATCGCCCGACACTCGCCGCCGGTTGCTGCCACGTTTGGGGACTGCCCAGGCAAAAACAGAAATTGTTGGCAGTCAGCGCGGCTTTCCTGTATCTGCCTGGGACCTCTGGCGCCGCCCCCGGCGCGCTCCGCGCGGCCAGGGGTGGGTGGTCCAGCGCAGATCCAAGAAGTCCGCGCGGACTGTCAACAGTTTCTGTTTATACCGTTTTCTGTTCCCCTGGGTTCTAGGCCTCCTGGATGGGGTCGGAGTAATTTGATGGGGTCGGAGGGTCCGCGCCACCTCGCCGATGCATCGGCGGTGCGGCTCGATGTGGAGTCCGATAGTATCCACGTCGGCGTCGCCAGTGCATCGCCGGTGCATCGCCGATGCATCGCCGATGCACCGGCGATCTGGCGCGATCCCCCGACCCCATCTACTCGGACCCCATCTGGGAGGCCTCCAGTTGATGCTGTCGGCGCCGATGATGCCGCCGCAGCAGCTGGGGATGCCCCCCGCGCCGCTGGCCCCCGCGGGGCAGCCCCTGCAGCCGTTCCCAGGCCCTGCCGCCGCCGCCGCCGCGCGCGCGTCCCTGCCCTCGGCTCGGCTCCTTGCGCCCTCCGCGCAAGGAGCCGAGCCGAGGGCAGGGCGCTCTCCCCGCCTCCTTGCGGTCGGCTCGGCCGCCTGACGCCCTCTTCCTCCTCCTGCTCCTCCTTCTCCTCCTCCTCCTCCTCCACCTCCACCTCCTCCTCCTCCTCTTCCTCCTCCTCCTCTACCTCCTCCACCACCTCCTCGTTCTCTTCCTCCTCCTTCTCTTCATCCTCCTCCTCCTCCTCTTCCTCCTCCTCCTCCTCCTCCTTCTCTTCCTCCTCCTCCTCCTCTTCCTCCTCCACCTCCTCCTCCTCGTCTTCCTTCTCCTCCACCTCCTCTTGCTCCTCCTCGGGAAGCGAGAAGGAGAAGGCCCTCCCAGAAGGCGACGACTTCCACCTCCCGTCACTCGGCGGCGCGAGAGGGGGGGGGGGGGGAGTTTTCGGGTTCGAGGTTTTGGGAGGCTCTCTTGGGAGCCTCGCGTCGGTTCTCGGCGGCTTCCCCGCCTCGGGGTGCGCTCCAGCGGCCGCGCCTCGCCGAGAGCGCTCCCGGGGCGAAGGGATCGCCCCCAGCGGCCGCCGGAGACCCGAGCGGTGACCCAGGACCAGCTTCGGCGGCGCGCCCGGGAGGGAAGTGAGTACCGTCGGGGCCCTGAAGAAGGAGCCCTTTTCGTGGGGGGGGGGCTCCGTGTTCCTTGATTGCTTCACAGTTTGCCCTGGGTTTTCCTTGTGTTTCCGACGGGAAATCGAAGCTTGACCCATGGAAAAAAGGGGCCTCGTTCCCTATATAGGGTTCCTTGGGTCAACGCCCCGACTGTAGGAGGAGGCCGTCTCTCAGGAGGCGGCCGTGTCTCTCAGAGGGCATGCGGGTTTCGGGCAGATTGTCGGTGCTTTCGGGGAGGGCTGGGAGCATTTCTCAGAAGTCAGGAGGGAAAACACACACAGACACAAATATGGGAAGTGGGGGGGAAGACCAACACCCAGAAAATATGGGAAACTAACGGGAACCCTGTGATTTGCGTCTGCTTCTTTGTGTGTGTCCCAGGGCCCAGGCCGGGGGGGGGGGCCCGAGCCTGCTAGGGAGGGGCCGCCCCCTCTCTTCCCCGCCGGGCGCGCCGCCGATGCAAGGGAGGTAAAGCCGCCCCGACCCCGATAACCGGCGTCAGCTGAGCGGCTTCGGGCGTTGTCTAGGCAGCCCTGCACTGTTCCCAGACATGCTCGCGTCGTAAAAAAACAAGGCGGCACGTTTTTCGCTATTTTCGACCCTCGGCGCCCTTGCTGGGCCCTGGAAGCGTCACAAAGCGACTCAGGATGAAAAACCGGTCCCAGGGAAAGGGTCGGCACTTCGAGGGACGCCGTCCTGAAAAAATCAGGACGTCGCATGTTTGGGTTCGATTCCTTCGTCGGGTGCGTCTGCTGAATGGTTGCATGAGAGTGGGGTGGGCTCGTTCTGGTTTCAATCCCTGCGCCCCGGCCCCCCCCCCCCCCGACCCTCTCAGCAGCACCCCCCAGGGGCCCAGCTTCCACTGTCCGCTAGGGGTCCTTCTGGGAGTGCCAGGTCCGCTATGACACGCGTTTGCGGATAGAGACAGAATCAGCGCAATGGTAAGGGACAGGAGGGAGGGGTAGGACGTCAGACATGGCCCGAGCGCACCTGTCTAGGCCTCCTAGGTGGGGTCCGAGTGGATGGGGTCGGGGGATCGCGCCGCATCGCCGATGCATCCGCGGTGCGGCTCGATGTGGAGTCCGATACTATCCACGCCGATGTCGCCCATACATCGCCGACGTCGGCGATGCATCGGCGATGCATCGGCGTTCGCGCGCCCCTCGCGGTGCTGGCCGACGACGGCGGCGGCGGCGACGACGACGACGACGGCGACGACGACGACCACGACAACGACAACGACAACGGTGGCCTGCCACGACGACGACGACGACGACGACAACTACAACGACTGACAACGACGACGACCGACCACGACGACGACGGACCACGACGACGACTCCTCTGCAATTGCGCACTGTAAGTACTGGTTTCCTCGCAAATGGCTGTGTCTGGAAGGTGATTCGCCCCCTCCGCGTATCATCCAGTTTCACATGTCCAGCGTCGTTAATTATCTGCAGGTGCACTCTGCGCGATGTCGCGCCAATTATCTGTCGCTGTGCCCCAGCCTCGGTCACCCCGCCTTCTGGACTTCTCCTTGCGGGCCGCGAATCAAACAAATATCATCCAGTTGCCTGCGGCAAGTCCCGCCGCCGTGCCAGCGCGGCATTTTGGCCGACGGCCGTTCGAGGGGGCACGAGAGGCCGTCGTGTGTGACACTTCGGGTCCCCAGGTTTGGGGGAGCTGTGATGATGCCACCGCTGTTGCCGATGTTGATGATGCTTTGTCATGGTGACGGTGATGGTGATGGTGATGATCATGTTGGCATTGACGATGATGATGTTGAAAGTGGTGATGATGATGCTGGTGATGGTGATGGTGATGATGATGATGATTGTGGTAGTGATGATGATGGTGGTGATGATGATGATGATAATGGTGATGGTGATGTCGATGATGATGATGCTGGTGATGGTGATTGTGATGATGGTGATGGTGGTAGGGGCGTTGGTCATGATGTTGCTGCTGCTGAGTATACTATCATGACGATGTTGCTGATGATGATGACGGTGATGATACATGATGATGCTGCTGATGATGATGGTGGTGGTGGTGATGCTGCTGATGATGATGCACATGTTGATATCATGATGATGGACGTGGTGGTGATGGTGATGATGAAGAGGAGGGTTACGATGAGGACGAGACAACTGATGAAGATGATGAGGATGATGTGAGGAAGGAGGAGGAGGAGGAGGAGGAGGAGGAGGATTACGAGGGAGGACGGCCGTCACATGTGTCTCCTTTCGTCTGCACTAGTCGAGGGGCCCTCATGCAACTCGCTTGGGCCGTCCTGTGGCTGCCCCGGCCTCCTGCGAGGCAGTCTTAGGGGCCGCTGGGGGCCCTCTTGGGCTGTTTGGGGGCCCTCCGAGGCCGTATTTCGACTAGGAGATCGACTTCAGTATTGATATACCCCAGAGCTGATCCCCCCCATCGAGTGTATGACAAATGCGCAGAATTTTCGTGCGGCACTTTTTTGTTCGTGCGGCACTTTTGAGGCGCAGAAGGATGGGGCGGATGACCACGGCCGAGGAGGTGGAGAGCAAGGACGAGGAGGGGGAGCAGCAGGTCGGGTGTTTTTTTGAGCCGCCTCGGGCGGGGGGGGGGTCGGCAGCAGCCCGAGAGGGCCCCCCACGGACGTTGGGGCTCTCCTGCCCGCGGGGGGGGGGGGTTCTTTTGGGCCACCTCGAGGGCTCCTCGAGTACTGTGAGGGCCTTACTGCCGGTGCCGCCGACCCTGCAGAAGACGACCTTGACCACGACGAGGTAGGAGGAGTGAGGAGGAGGAGGAGGAGACGCGGGAGGAGAGACGGAAGGCGACGTCCAGGAGGTGGGGGAGGTGAAGAAAGAGAACGAGGAGGGGGAGCAGCAGTTGGGGGGGGTTCTTTTGAACCGCCGATGTATCGGCGATGCGAGAGGATGCATCGGCGATACGAGATGGGATGCGAGGAGGTGAGGTGAAGAAGAACGAGGAGGAGGGGGCAGCAGGTGGGGGGGAGGTTCTTTTTGACCCGCCCCGAGGGCTCGAGCACTGGGCTGCCGTTGGGGCCGCCCCGGGGGCCCCTTTTTGCCGGCGCGGCGGGTGCGCCCGGGGGGGCTGCCCGTCGTGTGGGGCCGTCTCTCGGCGCCGTTTCCCGGGCAGTCGATGGTGCTCGCGGGCGATTTTTCTCCCCCAATCCCCGAGCTTCGCCCGAAAAGTTTGGCCACTCAGAAAAATGGGAAAACCCTGGGATACGCCCCAAGAGGGCTATTCGGACGCACCCGCATCGAGGATGGGCACCCCCCCGTCGTATATCCCAGGGTTGGGCCGCAAGTTTATGGTCCATTCGGAAACCCCACGAAGCCTGGGATAGGGGTCGGCATATCCTGTGTCAGGTGCCCCCCGGAGGAAGGCCGCCTTGGGTCCCACGGGGGGGCCTCCTGGCAAGCAGCGGCGAGGCGTCCTGGCGTGCCCATAGGCCTACCAAACAGTGTTCTGGGCACCTTTTTTCTGTGGTTCCCACGAGATGCTCTTAGAACAGTTCTGGCTGGGACTGTCGTGCTGTGACGCATCGGGTTCGTGCTCTAAGAGTATTGCTTTTGTAATTCGAACCATCTGGGTTCTAAGGACATTCCGTGGCATGCCTGTAGGAATGCCGGGACGGTCGGTCCCCGCTCAATCCTGGGCCGTCCTGGGATCTGGGAGGGAGGAGAACGCGCAGGCCCGAGCAATCGTCGGTTCCCAGGAGGGCACGGGAAATCATCTGGCAAGTGGGGGGCAAGACGATGCTCGAAAGTTTGTGAGAAGAACAGATGCGGTGGGTTCGTGTCGTGTCGATCGGCGGCGACCCCGCCCGCGGCGTTTAACGATGAACGCCGCCGCCGGCCCAGAACCAGTCGATGTGGAACGATCGGACGTTGCGAAAGCGGCCGATCGTTCAGAGTTGGACGATCTCCGCGGTGTCAGGAACCAACGCTGGGGTCGACGCGACACGAATTTGCCATAGGGAATCCTGGAATTTGTATGTACTTGCTTGTGTGCACATGTGCCCCTCAGCGGATCCATGCGTCGGGGGATGATAAACCACACCGACCCCGATAATTACTTGGAGATTGCTACGGTCCTGGGCGTTTCCTAGACCGCCCTGTCTTGCTCGCTTCCTTCCTTGGGTTCGCTTACCAAACGGCTTCGCTTGTCGAGGTGGTTGTTATGGGGGTGGATGTTCTGCTCTCTTATCCTTGGAGGCATATTGACCTCGGGAGCGCACATCCGTTTGCAGTTTACGCGGCAGGTAACCCGGTTCATGCAGAGGCATGCGACTACAGAGGGGAGGGCTTTAGAATCTTACAAATGTGAGGGAGGAGAAACTACCCCGACCCCGACAATTTGCGTTTACTACACGGCCCTGGGTTTTGCTAAATCTTGCCCGCTTCGATTCCTTCCTTGGGTGCAGTTACTAACGGCTTCGCTTGTCTGGGTGCTCATCATGAACGTGGATGCTCTGTCTACTAGAACCACTGATCAGGCAACACTCGGCATTACGCGGTGTGTTTTCTGTTTCCACGGACGCGCGTTTTATCCGACCAGCTGACCTGGAACTCCTAGATAGACCCCGCCGTGACATTCGTGATTAGACCATGGTAGCTGCGTGCATAAGATGAGAGGGATGGGGCTGAAGACCGTATACAGGCCTGGGTGTTTCGAATGTATCTGCGCTGGAGGCCTCTGGAGGTTTCCTCTTGCGGTCTCAGCTTCGCACCAGAAGTCCTGAAGCAGGAGTTGCAGGACCCCCCCTTAAGATTAGCCTGGCGGAGTGCCCAGCCTCACGCAGTCATGAAATGTCGACAGTGTGAGCATTTTCATGAAATGTATGCCGAAGTGGATGCTCCGCTAGCTCCCGTACGTCGACTTCCGCCCAAGCCGACGGGATCCCAAATACGACGCAGCATCCAAGACAGTCACCGCAGCCCACACCCCCACCCCAGCCCAGGATGCCCACACCAGCCGTCACAACCGACGTGGAAGCAACGACCCCTGATACGACCTAGAAGAAGGCATCACGGATGGACGTGCACCTACCTGTAAACCCTTACCACCGCACCCACACCATGAGTTGCATTGTTCGCGAGGGTGGGCAGCTTACGTCAGCGAAGGTATCAACTACACCACGGCGGCCTACCAGAACGAGCCCGACAACACGTACACTTCCTGTCCCAGACGACCATCTTTTCATCGACAAATGGCACAGGCATTTAGACACATTCGACAAATAATGTTTCACCAGCACACTATACCCGCACAAGATCCCACACCCACCGCTTCTACGAGTCAATCAATGCACCCGGCGTGCATCTTACGGCGAACTCGTAGCTAAACCTATTACATACCGACTCATGTTCGACCTAAGCAGCGTCAGCCGACCAGTTGTTACCACCACCGGCGCCGACCTATTTCCAGAAGAGTACGTCCACCGCTGGCACCGACCCCGACTTCCGCCTCGACGTAGCACTGCCCACACAGTGCATCCACGACATGATCCATCGACCTGATGCACACAATACCAACCACAATTGGACCCCTGCACTCAGGCAAGTTTCGCAATGGCTCTTTCAATTTGCGGGTCGCACATGGCCCCAGGATCTTCCGAGGACCGAAGCGACATTCCACATAATCACTTGGACATACGACGCATTCACCCAGACCATCCAAGACGACACCAGCAGTTGCCTTCTATCATACACAGCCGACAGCAGAACCAGCCCACTGACGCTCTCCGACCAACACCAGCACTCGCACGACATCCAAGCTCCACCAGCAGCAGAGCCCACAAACCACCGCGCATCCGAGAGTCACGGCATACCGTGCAACTGACCTAACGCCACCTCCACATCCACCGCCACGACCCAGCAGACATGTCATATGCCCACCACCGGGCCCTTCGACTGCCAAGTACGAATGGCTGGCGGACATCCCCCCGAACCAGCGTACCCAGCAAACGCAAGCGACCATCACTGCGCACTTCCCACCCAAAGCCCCGCCACCCATGCTCCAATACCAGCAACCGTCCACCCAATACACCCAGAAGACGGTCAGACGGGCTCGACCCCAATAACGACCACACAGTAAACGACGCAAAAAGTTATGGCGAAACAAGCCGAACAGCAAACCTCGACAGAATACGAGACACCCAGCACCAACACACAATATTTGGTAACAGTGCAGCAACGGCAAAAGGCCGAACTACTACGAGAACCAGTCAAGCTACCACCCATTGACAAGCCTAAGTAGGCATCTAGACCAAGGAACACCAAGACCACGGACGGGGCATGATCACTACCATCACGCCTGGCATTACTTGCCCCATACCCCACATGGGAGCCTTACGGGGCATGTTTGGGGTAGGGGCACAAGGAGATCGGTGACCACAGCATGTTCTTTCTGATCCTCAGGGGACCAGGATCACTGAGGATTAAAACACAATTTTATGACTGATCCTCAGATGTCACTCCCCCCTCACTTCTTCCTCGTTTCCTTTTTTCTGCGCACGCATGCCAGTGCTTTCAAACCAACCCTCCCCACGAGTCTCTGTGCACGGGCCCTCTCGGTACCCTGGGGACCCCATGCCGCCCGTGGAATTGCTTCGCGCGGACGCCAAGCTGCTCACGTTGCCATTCCCACTTTTCCCAGCGTTACTAGTGCCAGCAGTTGCCGCACAGCTCTCCCTCGCGTCTTCGCACACCTCCCACGCTGCTGTTACGTGTCCTCCCGGCGCCGTTCGTTGCAAGACAAGGCCATTCTGGCCAGGACTACACCTTAGGCGATGCTTAAGAAAACCTAAGTTTTCGGCCAGAGTCTCGATTATTCTTAACGTTTCAATGTAAATCCTACGATGTTCATGGAAATGTTGGGTTTTAATTCAAATTCTGAGACTATGAATTTCTTAACCCATGATTTCTTAACCATTTCGCGTGGTGTACGCACAACTACTTGGGACGAGGGATCTGTTGGTGGAGGGGAGCACTCGGGGATTGGGAGGGGAGCACACCCGGACGCCCACTTCGCCAAGCTGCCAAAGGCACTGCAAGAAGGAGGCCGCAGATCACACACGTATCATATGCTATTCCCAGTCCGCTTGGTGGGCTTGATATTCATTGGCAGGTTGCGCCTACAGCCAGCAAGTTTATTTGCGCTAGCCTGACAGCTTACTCAGCAAGCCAGACCCATCAGACCGTCCGTGGTACCTGTCTCCAGCCTCACGGAAGGCTATCCGCGGTGCTCCCCAACGGTCGAGCGTACTACATGCCCATATACCTCCAACCACCGCCACCCATTCTTGCGCTACCCCCAGATCATGGCACGGCTCATGTCAGTTCCCACCAAGGAACCGACGAGCAGGCCTAGTGTTGACAAAATTTTCAGGGACATTTCCCAACAGCTCTACTACATGTTCACCGCGCCAGCCTCACATACTATAGGATGAAGGGGGCTTTATCGTTTGGGATGGTTGGGGAGGGGTTGGAGACGAGATGAGCATTGCCGTCAGCGTATAGACGTCTTGACCAGCCTCTCTTTTATTTCAGCAGAAGTCAGTTTCAAGCTTCATTTGTAAATGCAGTGCCGACTTGTACCCTCTCACGTGTTGCTAAGCCCTGATTTATTGTTTCACCAACAGGCCAGCCAAGACAGCTTGCGCTAGCCTCTGCAGAGCGTCATCCAAACCTTCACTGTCGTTACATGAGTCCCATTTCAATCTACGCTTGCATACTGCTCCAGCCTGTCATGCTTCTTGAAGGCTATTTCACCAGCCTGCTTGACCTAAGGGATGGGGGACGTCAGAGGTCTGGAGTTGGGAAGCAGAGGGACCCACACAGCGTCTGCTCAGCTCTGTGATGGCTGCCTCGCTTACTTACCCATGTGGTGATACATACCACTGGGGTACTCTAGCTGAGCAATTTGCTGACAAGCCTCTTTACTCCATTGCGTTTTTTTGCGCATTCGTAATTCGTCCTCTCTCGGGCGGTGCCCCCCCGTCAGTACGTTTCGTTTCATGTGCTGTGTATTGGTTCAGTGCTCCCCTTCTCCCACCGGTGGCATGCTTAGTTACTCCGCGCCTTCATGGGCCCCTCGTGTTTAACGACTTCATTTGGCACTACTTACGTCCGCACTGGCAGCAGCCGCAGGTTCTTCTTGCATGCCAGAGTCGGCGCACTTCGCGTTGTTTTTCTCGGGGGGCGCAGCAAGCCGTGCCTTCAGATCCGTCCACTGTACACAGGAGGAGGAGGAGGAAGAAGAGGAATAGGAGGAAGAAGAGGAAGAAGAGAAAGAGGAGGAGGAAGAGGAGGAGGGGGATGGGGGAGGGGAAGGATGAGCATCTTGGCCCCCGCTCGCGCCCAGGAGCGGGCCCCGCCCCGAACGTCATGGGCCCCCCGCACATGGTGCCGCTGCAGCTGCAGATGGCCGCCCCGCCTCCCGGGGAGCTCGCCCGCGCCCCGGCGCGGTCCTCTTTCTGTTCTGTGCCTCGCCCCTCTTCTGCCCCCCACGAGTCAGCCCCCCTTTCGTTCCTCCTCCCTCCCCCCTTCCTGCCCATGCGCCGGAGCTGCGGCCTTCCTCCTCCCTCCCTTCCTCCCCAGGGGTCCTCCCCTTCCTCCCTCCCCCCTTCCTCCCCAGGCCCGTGCCTTCCCGGCCGCCGCGTCGGAATTGCCTCAGCAGTTGTCGATTTGGCGGGCGGAGGGCAAGGGTAGCTGCCGTAAGTCCGCCTCGCGCTCTCGGCGAACGTCGGCTTCCCGCCATCGTTCGGCGGCGAGCCCAGGGGGGAAGCGAGAGAGGGGGGGCAGGCCCGCTCAGAGGGCGGCGGGGCTTCTTAGAAGTCCTCCGGCCGTCTGAGAAGCCGCCCGTGGCTTCGGAGAGGGCCCAGAGGACTTCTCAGGAGGCGCGAGGGCTTCTGAGAAGGCCCGCCGTCTCCTGAGAAGGCCTGCCCCCTCTGTTCTCCCCTGGGCTCGCCGCAGATTCTTGCGCTGTCGTAACCTGACCTCCCTTCATATCCCCGACGTCATGATTCTTGATGGTGGGCGGCAGAATCGGTTCTGGGCTAGAAATTGTCGGGCGGGGGGTCCCATGAGGAGAGCTCCCAGGACGGCACGGGGATCGGACCAGGTGGGCGGCAGGGTCGGTTCCGGGCGAGAAATTGTCGGGTGGGCGGCCCCAAGAACAGAGATCGCAGGACGGTGCGGGGTCGGACTAAGTGGGCGGCAGGGTAGATTCCGGGCCAGAAATTGTCGGGCGGGGGGTCCCAATAACAGATGTGGGCGAGGTGGGCGCCAGGGTCGGCTACGGCGCAGAAGTTGTCGGGGGGGGGGGTAGCTCCTAAAACAGAGTTTCTGAGACTGTGCGGGGGTCGGATTAGGTGGGTGGCAGGGTCGGTTCTGGGCGAGGGGTTGCCGGGTGGAAGGTCCTAAGAACAGAGCTCCCAGGACGGTGCGAGGGTCGGACCGGGCAGGCGGCAAGGTCATTTCTTGGTCAGGAATTGTCAGGGGGGGGCCCCGAGAGCAGATTTCCCAGGACGGTGCGGGGCGGGCGGCCCAAAGAACAGAGCTCCCAGGACGACGCGCGGGTTGGACAAGGTGGGCGGCAGATTCGGTTCCGGGCCAGGAATTGTCGCGTGGGGTGCGACAAGGCCAATGTTCCGAGGACGGTGCGGGGGTCGGACGAGGTGGGCGGCAGGGTCGGTTCCTGGATTAGGAGGAGGAGGTGGAGGAGGAAGAGGAGGAGGAAATTTGTGCAGGGCGGTGCGGGGGTTGGACCAGGTTGGCGGCAGGGTCGGTTCCGGAGCCATGATTTAATATATTGTCGGGTGGGCGGCCCCGATAACAGAACTCCCAGGATGGTGCGGGGGTCGGACCAGGTTGGCGGCAGAGCCGGTTTTTGTCATCTGCGCGCAGAGGGGGGTAGGGGGAGGGGGGACGGCTTCTTCGAAACACCCCTGCTTCTTAGAAGGGGTGAGCCTGATCCATAGATGTAAGGGTGGAGCCTTCTAAGAAACAGCCTCCATCTAAGAAGCCCTCCCCCTCCCTCTGCCCCCTTGTGCGCACCGCCAATCTTGGGCTGAAGATTGTCGGGCGGGGGGTCGCAAAAACGAAGTTCCCACGGCTGTGCCAGGGTCGGACCAGGTGGGCGGCAGCATCATTTCTGGGGGAGAAATTATTGGGTTGGGGGTCCCAAGGACAAAGCTCCCAGGAGGGCGCGGGGTCGGACCAAGTGGGCGGCAGGGTAGGTTCTGGGCCTAATATGAAGCTGTTGTTTAAGGATCCGGCGATGGCGCAAGGAATTCGCAGGGAGCGCTGTGTTCAACGGTGCGGTGGTGTTCGCCACATCATGCTGGTGTTTGGATGCACGTTGGCGAATCGTTGGGGCTTGGAGTGGCACAGGGAGACGACGACGACGACGACGACAGACGACGACACACGACGACGACGACGAACACAAACGACGAAAACAGACGACGAAAACAGACGACGACAGGCGGCGATGACGACGGCAACGACGACGACCGACGACCGACGACCGACGACCGACGACGACCGACATCGTCCATAGGTACTGGAGGTGCACGTGAGCAGCGCGTGCACAGGCATTGCGTTGTGCAAAGGCAGCGAGGCGATTTGGTGCGCGAATTTGCTGTCGTTGCAGCATGATCTATTGTGCACGCAGGCGTGAATGTGCGCGCAAGCATAAATGCACGTATGTCACGCGGTGCACGCGGGCATCGTTTTGCACCAGGCTATAAAGAGAAGACGTGCCTTGTGGTGTGCACAACTGTTGCTCTACTGTCAGTTACCATTCACGTGGGCATCCCGGGCATGGTGGTTTACAGAAGCACAGTGGTGCACGGTCATTGCGGTGTACCACACGTTGTGGTGTACATAGGCGCTGCGGTGTACACATCCGCTGCTGTACACATTCGCGATGGTGTATACAGGCGTTATGGGCCCAAGACGGGACCGTTCCTTGCGCGAGAAAATATCAATCACACATAGATTACACATAGGATTTGATACGTTTGGACCCCCCGCGTTTTTCTGGAGTTCGGTCCCGCCGGGGGCCGCGGAAGTGTACGCAGTTTTGTGGTGTGCGCAAGCACTTTGGTGCACCAGAGATGTGGTGCACGATTATGGTGAAGCAGCAACCGTGGTGCACATAGGCGTCGTCGTGTACATAAGCAGTGTGTGTGGTGTGTACACAGGCGCTGCACTGCACACGGCTGCTGTGGTGTACGCAGGCATTGTGGTGTACACATACAATGTTGTGTAGACAGGCGCTGCGGTGCACAGACAAGCAACTGTGGTGTACAAAGGCGTTGTGGCGCACGCTAGACAGGCGCTGTGGTGTACACAGACATGGTCGGCCAAAAACTGGGGGCCGACACCCCGGGCCAGAAAATTCAATAATCACAAGTAACTTACATATTGAAGTTGATACGCTCGGGCCCCTCGGGGTTCTCCAAATTCGAGCCCCGGCGGGCCTTGGAGGTGCACGGAAACGCTGTAGCGCAAATGTTCGCCATGCGTTGTGGTGCGCAAGCACCGCAGCGTACACAGGCGCTGTGGTACACACGGCAGCTGTCGTGTTCACAGGCACTGTTGTCTAGCCAGGCACTGCGGTGTACACAAGCAGCTGCGTTGTACAAAGGCGTCGTGGTGTACGCTGGACAGGTATGGGGAATCACGATGACAGAGCTGCAAAGACGTCGCGGAGGTCGGACCATGTGAGCGGCAGGGTCGGATCCAGGCCAGGAATCGTCGGTTGGGCGGCCTCAAGACCCGAGTTGCCAGGACGGTGCGAGAGTCGGACAAGGTGAACGGCAGGGTCGGTTCCCGGGCCAGGAACTGACGGATGGGCGTTCCCTGGAGCAGAGTTCCCAGGGCGGCGCGGGGGTGGGACCAGGTGGGCGGAAGGGTCCTCTCCTCGGGAGAGGTTGTCGGGCGGGGTGCCCAAGAACAGAGCTCCCAGGACGGTGCGGGGGTCGGACCAAGTGGGCGGCAGGGTCGGCTCCGGCCCAGATAGTGTCCGGGGGGGTCCCTAAAAGTCAGTTTCTGGGATTGTGCGGGGGTCGAGCCCGGCGGGCGGCAGGGTCGGACCGGGCGGGCGGCGGGGTCATCTCCGGGCGAGGGATTGTCGGGTGGGCGGCCCAAGAACAGAGCTCTCCTGGACGGTGCGGGGGTCGGACCAGGTGGGCGGCTGGGTAGGCTCCAGGCCAGAAGTGTCGGGGGGGTGGTCCCGAGACTTGAGCTCCCAGGACGCTGCGGGGGTCGGACCAGGTGGGTGGCAGGATCGGTTCTGGGCGAGACACTATGGGGTGGGTGGTCAAGAGCAGAGTTCCCAGGACGGTGCGGGGGTCTGACCAGAGGTGGAAGGATGAAGGTTTGATCTCACACGCCTCTGGGGTCGTCGGACTCGCAAAGTTTCTGGAAGAGTTTTGCCTCTTGGGTGGCCCAGGGGAGCTGCGAGAGCACTTGAAACCGTTCTTGTGGACCCCGTGAGGCTTCTAGGAAGCATGTCAGAAGCTAGCCTGAACCTTCTTCTGCTATCCAGTGCCGCCTTGCAGGCCATCTTGGAGTACGGGAGTCCGTCTTGGAGCCATCCTGGGAGGAGGGAGGAGGGAGGAGGAGGAGGAGGAGGAGGAGGACCTCGCGACCCCCCCCCCCACCCCACCACACACACACACACGCACACACACACACACATTCACACACACATTCACACACTCACACACTCACACACACATAAAAACCTGGTGGAGTGGAGGTGGAGGGCTCCCCGCCCCGAGCGGGTGTTGGCAGAGGAAAGGATGTGTCATCGTGAGGCTTTTGCGCTCAGAAGGCTGGTCGGATTCAGCGTCGACGCGAGTATATATCCGTGGTCGAAAACCGACATCATCCGGCATACTCCCTCAGAGTGGGGCATAATCCCGCTGAGTTTCTGGCTTGATGTATCTGAATGGCTTCTTACTCTAGCCTAGGAGCCCTTGAGTTTTTTCGAAGACCACCGAGCGCGTTCCACTACTCGCAAAGTGCCGACTCGCAAACGTCAGACAAAAAAATGTCTGCTTCGATGTGATGTATCGTAGATCCTACGCGGGGGATCCAGACTATTTGCGAGTAGTCACTTTGCGAGTAGTGGAACGCGCTCGTCTAGAAGACCTACCAGGAGCTGCTTCCTAAAATAGTGACACGGCGCGAATCTCATCTATCGAACTCCATCGCTCCCGCTCGCAGAGGCGCCCTTTGGCCCGCTCGCGCGAGCTCCTCCGTTCGGCGGCGCGATACCCGAACCCTACCTCCCGCCGACCATCGATTCCTCTGTTTTGTTGGGTGGCGGGAGTAGCGCTAGGATGTCTCCATGAGACTGTTTTTTTTTGAGTCTGGCGAGAACCCGGGTTATCGGGCTTGCCCTCCCTCTCCGTCAACCCCCAGGACAGCCTAACTTTGCCGGTTGTGCAGGTCCGGGGTGGGGGGGGGCGCGGGCATATGCAGGGCTGCCCACACCGCGAAGGTTAGGTCATCGGCCAGCCCCTTCCCCACCCGGATAATCCGGGGTATCGCCGATTCAATGAAAACGGTTTCCATTTGCCCGTCAAGCTCCTAACTGTAACCCCTGCCGCCCAGCGAGCTGCCCGAATCGTAGATCGGCGGGGGTATGGTTCGGATCTCGCCGCCGAACGCCCGCGCGGCCGCGCAGCATCCCGAGGCAAGGCCGCCAGCGCCCTCGAGTTTCTCAATATCGGCAACACCCCAACATACTTATACTATATGTGCGTCGCCCCCCCAGGGGCGACGCGCGCACCGAGAAATCTTATAGTATATGCGTCGTGGCGGGCGCTTTCTGGCCACACCGCTCGGGAAACGATATACTACAAGATGGGTATACTACATGTTCGGGTCGGACGCGCGCCTCCAAGGAGGACATATAGTACTAGTATGTCTTTGTGCTTCCCATCAATACTACGTGTTTCCAGGAGGCCTGGACCTTTTGACCAGGGCCGGCTCGTCATCCGGGGTCGTTTTCGGACGGTCCGGGGGCCCAGCGAAGGCCCCCCGAGGCTGAAAACGGCCAGACATCAAGGGCTCCCTCGGGGGCGCGAAGTTATTCGCGCTTCGCGCTTCGCGGTCCTCGTTCCTTCTCCCCTTCCTCCTCGTCCTCCTTTTCTCCCTTTGGGGGGGCGGCGCGAGAGCGCGAAGTTATTCGCGCTTCGCGCTTCGCGCAGCGCGAAGCGCGAAGTTGGGAGCCCTAGAGACATTTTCCGTTTTGAGTTTCTCGAGACGTTGGAGGTCTGGGTAATATGACGTCCCCGGACATCCGGCGTCTCGATTTGTTCGAGTCACGGGCCCCCGACCTCTCGACCACTTCCCTGGGACGGGCTCTTCATCGCGAGTCATTTTTTGCCGGTTCCGAGGGGCCCCGAGAGGCCGGAAAAAGATTCGCGTACACGTAGGAGTGACCTTTCTTTGGAGTGACTTTTGGTGCGGGCTCAGCGGGGCGATGCGATGCGATGGTGGCTGCCTGCGCGCTTGGGTTTGGTTCCCTCACACCTCCCAAAGCCGCGCACCAACGGCAACGTTTGCATGGGGCCGCTCTTATACATTCAGCCGAATGATGAAAACCTCCGTTTCGATTCTGTCGAATCGCCAGGATGTCGCTGGGCTCCCTGGGCAGAGCGGGAGGAGGAGGCAGGAGGAGGAGGAGGAGGAGGAGGAGGAGGAGGAGGAGGAGGAGAGCGGGGGCGGGAAGAGGGAGGCAAGAAGGCGAGCAGGAGGAGGAGGAGGAGAAGCAGGAGGAGAAAGAGGACGAGGAGGAGGAGGAGGAGGAGGAGGAGGCGGGAGGCGGGGGGCAGGAAGACGAGGAGGAGGAGGAGGAGGACGTACGAGGGGGAGGAGGAGGACGGAGGAGGAGGAGGACGGAGGAGGAGGAGGACGGAGGACGGAGGAGGAGGAGGAGGAGGACGTACGAGGAGAAGGAGGAGGAGGAGGAGGAGGAGGAGGAGGAGGAGGTTTGCCCGTACAGGACCGCTGGGAGACCTGCTGGGAGTACGTGCAGACGGGCTGCTGCCCCCGGGGCCCGACGTGCCGGCGCGCCGCCGCTCCCGCCGCGAGAAGCGCCCCCCCCCCCCCTCCCCCCCGGCGGTTCTATTCGGGAGACTCTCCATGGGGGGGGATCCTATGGGTCCCCCCCCCTGGGATCCTATCCCCCCATGGGATCCCCCCCCATGAAGAGTCTCCCGATCTATTGCGACCAGCGGTGAACTCTCTCCGCGTCGTCGTCGTCGTTGTCGTCGTCGTCATCGTGGTCGTCGAGGTAGTCGTCGAGGTCGTCGTGGTCGCCGTGGTCGTCGTGGTCGCCGTGGTCGTCGTGGTCGTCGAGGTAGTCGTCGTCATCGTGGTCGCCGTGGTCGTCGTGGTAGTCGTCGAGGTCGTGGTCGTCGTCGTCGTCGTCGTCGTCGTCGTCGTCGTCGTCGTCGTGCGCGGGCGCCCCTCTATCTCCGCCGGCTCCGGGGGCAGCCGAGTGCGAGGGGTGCCAGTGGCACGAACAGGGGCAGCAGGCGCAGCTGCTGGAGACCGCTCAGGGGTGAAGGCCTGCACGAGCGTGGGCTTCATGGGCGTGGCCTGCGCGGTCGTGGCAACGCCCGCGTTGTCAGCATCGCCGACTCGCCAAGTTTTCACCAACGGCGAGCCATCTCCTTCCTCCGACCTTCCTATCAGATCAGCTGGAAGCCCGCAGGACAAGGGGCTCAGCAAGTATACCTCACCACGCACTGCCCCCACGCATCGACCCCCCCCCCTTGGCGGAGCAGCTCATTGTACCTGGTGAGGAGCGTATCAGGCCACAAATTCTTCAGGTGTCGATGGTAGGAATTTCATGCGTGTTTCACCACATCGTTTTTCGCAACTGCAAAAGCTCACGAAGCAAACCTCGGCGCCTGCGCCGATCGTGAGATTATTGTCACTTCGCGCATCCCCACCAGCCCAGCCAGGAACGATCAGCAGGGGAGTTGGTAATTCAGGGACGGCTGGAAGCATGCAGTTGCGCGGCCGTTTTCAGAACAACAGGGATCACACATAGCTTCCCGCAGTGAAGCTTCAGATGGGAATCGGTGCAAGATGCGACGTGGTGTTCCCCGTGGTATTCGTCTGTAGCGCAGGTGGTTGTATCCACTTTGGGCCATGATAAACAAGGATCACACATAGCTCCCCGCAGCGAATTTTAAAGTGGAAACCAGTGCAAGACAAGCTAGGATGTTCCCTGTGGTATTCGTCTCTGGCGCAGGTGACTGTATCTATCATGTGTTGCCCTTGTCACGCAGTCGAGAGTCGCATCCCCGTATGCATCCTCGATCTCTGCCCCCGCAACGGCATGTATCTTAACCTCGCGTGCGGCTGCTGGCGCTGGTGGTGGTGGTGGCGGTGGTGGTAATGCTGCTGGCGTTGTTGCTTGTGGTGCTCTGTTGCCCTCTTGGAGCCATCTTGGAGCAAATGGTGTTGCTGGTGCTGGTGATGCCTGGGGCCATTTTGGGGGTAAGAAGACGAGTCATAGGAGGAGAAGGAGGAGGAGGAGGAACAGAAAAGGAGGACGGGAAGGAGGAGGAGGAGGAGGAGCAGGAGGACCGCGGCTCGAGGAGGATGAAGAGGAACAGGGAGGCGGCAGCAAAGAAGCAAGGAAGGAACGGACGATCACAAGGAGAACGATAAGTCGGGCTTTGGGCATATGTCTTGGCGAGGGTTTGTTCGAAGACTCGTAATGCCATTTGGGCGCCATCTTTGGGCTCTCTTGGGGTCTCTTGGGGCTCTCTTGAGGCTCTTCGGGGGCTCTTTGGGGGAGTCTTGGGGCCGTTTGGGTTTTTTGGGGAGGGGTCTGGGAGGCCTTTTGGGGCCGTCTTGAGCCCATCTGCTCAAAAAGATGGGGGTCTTAAATTTAGGTCACCCCCTTCGAAGACCCAAAAGGGGTGTCGTGGGGCCCTCGTGGACCGCTCTTGCGGTGCTCTTGGGCGCTCATAGGGCCGTTTGGAGGTCAATATGGGCCTCTCTTGGGGCTATCTTGGGCCGAGATCATCGGAAGCGAAAACGCGAAAAGGCACGAAACAATGATTTTCCGCAGGTTTTCAACCCAATTTGACCTATTGGGGTGGTCCTTGGAGGGTTCGGAGGGCACTTGAAACCGTGTTTGGGCCGTCTTGGGGCCTCTCGGATGCGTGTCGGAGACTATGTTGAGCCATCTCGAATAACCTTGGACCATGTGGGAGGCCATCTTGTGCGATCTAATCCCTCTTAGAACTACCTTGGGCCATCTTGGACGCTCTACCCCCTCGCCCCCCCCCGTCCAGACCCAGGGAAGGAGGGGGGAGGTAAACCTCCCGAGCAGGGAAAGGAAGGAGGTTGGACAAGGAAGCGCTGTAGACCACCTGCGCCCAGAGGGCTGGTGAGATTCATGAGATTTAAACACGCTAGCTAGCGGCAGTGCGTCAACGGTGCAGTTGGGCGACGTGAGCGGCTTGCAGCACTCGGGGCGGCAAGGCAGCACCTGCAGCATTCGAGCCGGTATGGGCCAAGGAATCTACAGTTCGAGCTGCCGCGCGTGCCACGCTGTCTGGCGCTGGCGCACACAGGGGCCGCGCTGAAGAACCACCCCCTGTGCACCCCTCTGGTCCGAGAGTGTGCCACGCCTGCCACACTGCTCGACGCTAGCACGCACAGAAGCCGCGCGGAGGGACCACTCCATACGAACCCTCTCTCGCGTCGACCAAGTTCCACGCGTGCCACGCTTTCCGGCCTTGGCACGCATAGAGGCCACGCAGAGGGATCAACCCCTGCGCATCCTCTCTGGTGTCGACAGAATGCCGCGCGTGCCACAGTTTCCAGCCCTGGCACGCATGGAAACCGCGGTGAGGGACCACCCCTTGCGCACCGCACCCTCTCTGGTGTCGACAAAATGCCATGCATGCGACGCTTTCCGATTAACGCTCGCATAGAGGCCGCGCAGAAGGACCACCCCTTGCGCACCCTCCCTGACGTCGACAAGGTGCCACGCCTGCCACGCGTTCCGACCCTGGCACGCCGCATGGAGACTGCGCTGACGGACCACCCCCTGCGCACCCCCTTCTGGAGTCAAGAAAGTGCAACGCTTGCCACGGCTTCCGACCCTGGCACGCATAGAGCGAGCGCTGCGTGACCACCCGCGTGACACGCGTGTCGAGAATGTGCCACGCGTGTCACGCTTACCGACCCTGGGAAAAGGGTGCATGAGAACCAACAACCGCGGATGAGCGGGAGAAGGAAGATGGGGATGGGAGAGGAGGGGGTGGTGTTGTGCTGCGTGGTGTGTCTGGTGTGTGCTGCGTGACTGTGATGTTGACGGTGTGGAGGAATTGGTGTGACACTCGTGGGTGTGACGCGGGTCAGTCCAAAGATATCATCCCATTGGTCGTGGGGGAAAAAAAGAAGGACGGCATTTCTGCAATATCGGTTTTTGGGGACTCTCGCTAGGCTTGTGGGCCGTCAAAACAAAAAATTGGGATAATTAGTTAGTCCCGGTGAGTGGGTCGAGAATTTTGGTGGTCAGCGCCATGAAGCAAACATGACGTCGGGCGTCTGGGAAAGAAACTGGTTTTTGGCATCCGCTCGCGATATCGCGTGACCAGGGGTGGGAAAGGGGGCTGGTCACGTGACGATTCGCGCCGGTACAGTCTGGGAATGTTTAAGAATGGCTAGATCCCAGACGGCGCTTGCGCGAGTCGTCACGTTACCAGAGGGCGAGGGCGGGGCGGTGCGGGGCTGGTCATGGGTGTCATCGCTGAAGTTACTGCGAATCATATCCAGTTGCCTCCTGCAATTCCGTCACCGTGCCAACGAAGCGTCATGGGTGGCAACAGTTCGAGAAGGCAAGGGGGGTTGCTGGGGGACCCTTGGGACAAAAGGCTCGAATTCTTGGTTCGTGATCCCACTCTTGGGCCTTTTGTTGGGGTTGTCTTGGGGCCATATTGGCCAGTCTTGGGCGCGTCTTGCGGCCGTCGTGGAGACCTCTTGAGCCGCGTTGCAGCTCCCCTGTGGGCCTCTTGAGTTATCTCGAGGGAGTTTCTGGGGCCCCCCCAAGCCGATTCAAGCGTTGAAGCTCGAGGAGCCAAATCACATTGAACAAGTTGCGGGGTCTGTGGTTTGTACCCCTCGGGGCCCTCGTGGGGCATTGTGGGGGCGTCGTTTCTTGAGCCCTCCTGGGCGGCAAGCTCAAATTGTCGGTTCGCCTTCACCCTCTCGAGCTTTTTTTGGAGGTCCGTCATGAGGCCCTCTCGGGCGTTTTTGGGCGCCCCTCGGGCCGCCACGGAGCCCTCATGAGCCGCCTCGGAACCTCCTGGGGCCTCGTGGGGGCCTGCCTCGGGCGGCCCTCGTGGCCTTGGGGGTCGCCCAGGGACGTCGGAAGCGCGAATCGGCGGGAACCCGGAAACATGGAACATACAAAACATTGGGCGTCGCGTACACCTTAGGCGATGCTTAAGAAAACCTAAGTTTTCGGCCAGAGTCTCGATTATTCTTAACGTTTCAATGTAAATCCTAAGATTTTGATAGACATGTTGGGTTTTTATTCAAGTTCTGAGACCATGAATTTCTTAACCCATGATTTCTTAACCATTTCGCGTGGTGTACTGGGGGGGTCGTAAATGGGGGGGGTGGCGAGGGTGGTCCGAAAAGGTACCCAAAAGGTACCTAAACGAGCCCCCTGGGGCTCCGGACGGGCCCGACGGGGCACGAAAGGGGACCGTTTCTGACCCCCCCGTTTATGACCCCCGTGTTGAGTCACGCCCAAAAACATCCATGGTGATTTGTTCCGTAGCAGCCGTTTTGGCTCAATGATCGCGAAGCAGTGACTCTGCATACGGTAGGTTCGCGCGGCGTTGGCGCGCCGGCGACGCCGGCGAAGGCGTTCAAGGTTGAATTCTGCGACGCGGAAGCACCGAGAGACACGATAACGCCATTGGGCCCAACGGAATTCAACCTTGAACGATCGGCCTTCACGTTTTTCACCTTGGTGTGAAAAACCTTTGCGCGTGCCGACGCCGCACGAACCTGCCGTAACCATTCCT